CCCTGCTTAGGGAGCCAAAGGCACGCTCGATCCAGGCGCAGGAGGTTCATCCATCTCGAATTTCCCTCCACTGCAAAGGTCTGGTATTTCCTGTGCATGGGAATCCCCTCCTGCATTTGGCCCCCGAAACGGCCCGTGTGAAGATTCTGGCAGGAAAGCGAGCATCAAATCTGAATCCAGCAGATCAGGCCCTGTATTCACTTACCTGTTCACCTTTTAGACTAGAAGTGCCTTTGAATGTGGGATTCCGAAAAAGGACAGAAAGAGCTCTAATACATTGTAACTGGAGGAAAGTATTCACTATGAGGGGACACACACTTCTATTGATCTTCCCTGGTTCCTTCTGCGCACGACTCTGACAGCCTCTTTCTTCTTCTCCCACACCCAAAGCAGTCTTGAGAACATAGAGAATTGTATAAATATAGGCCCCCAATTTCTCCAGATACCAGCAGGCAGAGATATATGAAGCCTTCCCTTCACCCCAATGGAGTAGCTTTGTGATTGTTCAGCAGGCTGTCCCAAAGATGACACCAGAGTCTCTTGTTGTGACACCTTGAGCATTAATTTGATTGCATGGGAAATTAAAGCAATGATCCTGTGGTTACTGCACCCTTTGGCAGCTCCTCTCTTGGGAATTGAAATGTATGTTGAGTGTTTACAGTCTGTGGATTATTGTTTTGTTTATCATATTTTTGGACATATTCTTGTCAAGATTTGGTCTCATTCAGTTTCAAGTCACTTGAAATAGTTCTATCTAGTATCCCATCTAGCCCTGGTGATGTATTTCTTCCTAATGCTTTCAGAGCAGTTCTTGCTTTCTAGAACTGTAGGCTCTTCATCGTAGGATTCCTCTTCAAAGGAGTCTCTCATGCTTTTAGCTCATCTGCATAGGACCTCAGCACACTGTTTCCAGCTTCTGTTTATTTTCTCCCTGCTCGTCTTCCAGCATTAAATTTCCCTTTGATTTCTTGGATCTTCTGGAACAGATATCTTGTTTTTCCCCTTTTGTTTTTCTCTATTTCTTTCCACCTATTGTAGTAATTCTCTTTGTCTCTACGGGACAGCAACTGAAAAACTGCATTCAGGGTTCTGATCCTATTTTTGACAGCTTTTACTTTTTCTTCTTCTGTTCTTTACAATTTTAAGTGTTTCTTTCATAATCCATCTGTTTTTTTCTTTATGCTGCAGCAATTGAATTTTTGCATTTTTCCTTAACAATATCCCTAATTTCAATCCAGAGTTCTTGTCTCACAGTCAACTTGAGTTTAGTCATGCAAATCTGTTCCTTTTATGAACTTTAAGTTCATCAGAACTGTTTTTTGAATTATATTTTGGCACTATAATTCTTTTAGTCTTCTTTTTCAGCTTTACTGAAAAAGTAAATAGTTGATACTTGAAGTGTGTGGAAATGGCCAGAGAAGTCAGGGAGACAATTTCACTGAAAATCTCCATGGAAAGTGAAAATTCTTCAATAATTTATCAGGAAATGACAGATGGGCATTAGTCTTGCTGTTTCTGCAAGGTTTGTCACTGTTTCTTTCAATATTTATTCTGCTGACTAAATGACATTAGGAATAATCACAAGTAGATTCAACCTTTGTCACAAGTATAAAGTATTTTTAATGGGGTTTTTTAATTATTGTTGTGTTTTTGTAGCATTTCTACTTGCATTCTTTTGTCTTGCTTTTAGTTTGTATTATCACCTATATCAAACTTTTTAGGGCCATTGTTGAGTGTGTCCAGATGACATAACTGATGATTCATAGAATGGAATACAAGAGTGAACCCTACTGCTTTTGCCTACCTTCTGCCAATACTGATAGAAACTACAACTGCAATGCAATTTGCAAATTGTATTTTTAAAAAATATTGTTTCTCCTAGTTTTGTGTTATAGAACAAAATACAGCAGAACAAAATGTGCCACCAACTTATGGCAAAAGATCAGATCTACTCATGATTAGCACTAATTTAATGTAGTCAACGGAACAGATAGCAAAACATGGCACAAACAGAAGGACAAATATCCATCTATTGTGCTAAACTGATATAGCACTAATTCAAATGCTTGCTACATCATGTCTGTTCAGCACTATTTCACCTGCTAAACATTTTTTAAAGGAAGGGATTTGAATACCAGCAAAGGGTGTAAGTAAGAGGGTAGTGATAATGGAAGAGAAGGGTGAGGGAAAAGGGAGACTGTCAATATTTAGATACTTAAAATACATTTTCTGAGATTAATTAAATAGTATTTAAGTGTGAAATGCTGCAGCAGTTTAAATATCTGGGTGCACTACAAAGAAGTTTGCATTAATCTGGGAGAAACTTGCACCTGGTCACACCCTCAGACACTACAACCCAGCATTAGCTATATTTATGGTAGAGCTTTGTTCTTTTTCCCCCAAATGGATTTCTTTTTTGCATTGCCAATACTAATGGCAACTATAGCAACTGTGTTGGCATAATGGCCACTATTTTGCTTCCCCCACTATGCCTTGTACCATATCTCATTCTAGGGCATTGTGGAAGTAGTGAAGAGGAGTCAGGCATTAAAAAAAATTAGGACAGATTATATTCTACAAAACTGGCCCTCAGTTTCCATAGGAGCAAGAAAAATAAATATCTTTATATCTTTCTTAGAAAACTGCCTTCAGAGAAATACTGGCTTAAAAATATGAAAAATCTATTTATTTAAAATTCTTCTGAAAAGCAATTTGTTTTCTATAACACTAGATTAAATCAGACAGTGTTCTCATGGAGGACATTGTATGCACTGTACTAACCATTGCATCCTGTGCTGGATGGGATTATATTCCCTCTGAAAACACAAATGAGCATTTTGAGGGTGTTCCTGGATTTATCTCTGAGCCTGAATGCCCAGGTTTCAGTGGTGGCCAGGAGTGCATTTGCACAAACCAAACTAGTGCTCCAGCTGTGCCTGTTCCTAGAGAGGTCCGTTCTGGCTATGGTGACACATGCCTTAGTCACATCCTGGCTGTATTACTGTAACACGCTCTATATGTGGCTACGTGTAGAAAGTGTTAGGAAATTTCAGTGGGTCCAAACCGTGGCAGCCAGATTGCTAACTGGGCCTGGTCACAGGAAATCACATAACCCCTCATTATAGCTGCTCCACTGGCTACTGATTCGTTTCTGGGCACAATTCAAAGTGCTGATTTTACCCTATTAAACCTTAACCACCTTGCGCCCAAGCTATCTAAAGAACCTCATCTTCCTTTATGAACCTGCTTGAGTGTTAAGAACATCAAGAGAGGCCTTTCTCTTGGTCCCATCACCTTCACGGATACATTTGGTGGGGACACAGGAGAGGGCCTTCTCTGTCTCTGCCCCCAGACTTTGGAACTCCCTCCCACAGGAGGCCAGGCTGGCTCCATCCTTGCTGTCCTTCCACAAGTAGGCAAAAAACTTTCTTTTCAAGGTTGACTGAGTGCTGGAGTGAGTTTATTTTTTTAATGTATTGTTGTACTTTACTGTTTTAATTGCATTTTGGTAGTATTATTTTTGTTTACCATTTTACTGTTGTATTTGTTTGATCTTTTAGTATTCTATACTCACAGTTGTTAGCTTTACATACTGTTTTTTGATGATGTTCTTTTCTTTTCTTTTCTTTTCTTTTTTGATGATGAAAGCCACCTTGAATCCTTATTTAAGGAGAAAGGAGGGTTAAAATATTTTTAAATAAATAAATAAAATCTCTTCACTGTACAGAGCAGTGTTTAATGTGTGAGTCTCCTTCTACAGCCTGAAGTTGTCCAATACAGTCTTTTCAGGACTGGCAGCTTAAATGGATGAAAGTGACAGGCAGAACACAGCCGAAACAGACCTAGTTTTAAAATTCCTTTAATGTGTGCACTGACACACTTGAGTGTGAAGATTTCAGAGACAGCCAAGATTAGGCCTTCTTTAGTTTAGCCAATGCTGAAGCTGTTTCCCTTTCAGCCAAGTGCCACGCAGACTATCTCTGCTTTCCTGTTGCTATGGGAACAGGCAGGCCTAGCAATAGCCCAAGCTACTCTTGCTGCAGCTGCTTTGCTTCTGTCTATTGCCTCCCCCTCTCCCATCTGCCTGTGGCTTTGCAGAGCTTTCTCTAAGCTCTAATACAATGCCTTTTCTCATTCTAGCCAACATTGTTATTCTCTCAGGTGACAAGACGGTACACACATTCCATGATCTGCTGTTTTTCCTGCCTTCCTGTTTCCTGTCTGGCAAACTCCTGGGTCAGAATACTTGGCCAGAATATGGCTAGAGCTATGCAGTGACAACTACATCCGGCAGCATAACAAAATGGCTTTACAGTGGCAAGAGCCCCAACTTAGAGTACCTCACATGTTAACGAGACTTGTTGTTTTCTCTTCCCTTAGGGATCTAGGCACCATACAAAGATAGCATTATTAGACTCCTCCATGTGCTGCCCTCATGCTGCACTAGCTGATAAGTGCCCTATGTCAGCAAAAACAGGTGGCTTAATACATACTGCAATGGTTCTATGTGGTAGGCTGCCTTGGAAAGACCATGCCCTTGAAAGGCAACTAAGAGAAGAATAAAAGAAAAGAAATTTCTGACCTAAGTTAAGCCTTTTTGTTCTTGCACCTATCTTCTTCCAAACAGAACTGCTACCATTATATGATGTATGTTAATCTTGGACAATGTTTAGACTCAGAGGTGGTCTAGATTTCTCTCTGACCTTTCTCTTAAGACCCCTCATGGGATGTGTGGATGTTTAGACCAATGATGGGGACTTCAGTCGTGGGACTCATTGTCAAGTTGGAGTTAAGGGCACGACCAAAAGATTATTCTGCTGATAAACAGAACCTAGAAAAGTGTTTTCTCTTACTTTAGCTCTCAGAATCTCTAGTGATCA